AAGTTCTGCTACTATGGTTTTGTGAGTTTTTAGGACATAGCGTCGATAGCCTTTTTCCGTACTTTCTGGCTCATGCCCGTAAAGTTTTCCCGCATTTGGAGTGCATTGATGACCTGCGTAGAATTTCTGATTTAACCCAACCGCATAACTGGTACGCAGAAGCAAGAAAGCTTTTTAGAAAAGTCGTTTTTCATGCAGGTTTGTGCAACTCTTCAATTTGTAACGGAAATTTCCTTGTAATTCTCTTAGTTGCAGGTTATTTCAGTTTTTTTTTTCTTTGATTTTTTATAGGTCCAACAAATAGCGGTAAAACGCATGAAGCAGTGCAACGGTTTTTCAATGCGAAGAATGGCATTTACTGTGCTCCTTTAAGGCTACTAGCTGCAGAGATTTTTCTTAAATCTAATAAAGCAGGTATTTGCTTTGATGAAGTTAAATGTTGTAAAATAGAGGTTTCTCTATTGAATAACGTTATATTCTGTTTAACTATTTTAGACGTGAAATGTGACTTGGTTACGGGTGAGGAACGCCGATACGCAACCAGTATTTCCTCACCTTCTGATCACGTGTCCTGTACTGTTGAAATGCTACCAACGGATAAAGTATATGACGTTGCCGTCATAGATGAAATACAGATGTTAAGAGATGAGCAGCGAGGCTGGGCTTGGACGAGAGCTTTGCTCGGAGTAGCTGCAAAAGAAGTCAGCCATTTTAGTATTCCAATTTTATACAGTTTTTAGTGACAGCGTATTGTAATGTTAATTAAAAAGTCTTTTGAGGTTCATCTCTGCGGTGAAGCATCTGCCATTGACATTGTGAAGAAACTTTTGGATGAAACTGGCGAGCATGTGGAAGTGCGAAATTACGACCGAATGTCTAAGCTCGACATAAGGAATCATGCGCTGGGGTCGTTGGATAAATTACAGGCAAGCTACACATATGCTCTCAAAGAACGCAATATTTTATTCTTAGAACAATGTGAATTTTGATTTATGCTCACTTTAGACCAAGGCTTGCTTAAGTTTTTTTTAGGACGGAGACTGCATCGTATGTTTTAATAAGGCAAAGATTTTTGGTCTTACGCGTGAGTTAGATAGGTTAGGGATTAAGTTTGCAGTCATATACGGTGATCTACCTCCAGGGACGAAATTAGCACAAGCAGCTAAATTTAATGATTTGAGTGATCCTACAAATGTTCTTGTTACTACGGATGCAATTGGAATGGGTATGAACCTTAATATTCGTAGGTTGGTTTTAAAAGAGTTTAAAGTTTTTTTGATTAGCTGAGTGTATTTTTTGAGATTAAATTTTATGACCAAATTTTTGAGTCTCTGATATCATTTAAGAGTAGGTGTCGGCTGTTTTACCTTCTGGTTATTTCAGAATAATCTTTGCTTCTCTTACGAAGATGGGAAAGTTTATCCCAAATTATCATGCATTACAAATCGCAGGTCGAGCTGGTCGTTATGGTACGCAGTATGAAGACGGCGAAGTGAGAATAGTGTACTATTTCTAGTTTATAGTAAATAATTTTCATTTTATATTAATGTCATTCTGTACTGGTCAGTATTTTTGGGCTTATTAACTAGATTCGATCGCAGTTATGTTTTTTTCTCCCATCCGTTTTTTAGGTGTTGGCCTTGAATGAAGGGGACAGCCTGAAACTATGTCAGCTTTTGTCAGAACCAATTGAACCGATAAAACAAGTTGGGATCTCACCTACATTTGAACAGGTTAAGAGCATTTGCTGTTAATATAAATTTTTTTACTATGCAGAGCTTCTGGAAGTAAAGGTTGCGGAGGCAACTGAAGAAAAAGAGGAGAGAGCAGAAAAAAAAAAAGTTAGGTTGTGCGGTGGGGTTTGGGGGCTTGAGTTTCCTTCTCAGCCTGTACTATCGTTTCTTAGTTACTTGGAAAGGAGATTATTTTTAGTTTCTGTTTACTACTGAATACACTTTGTAGAGTTATATCTATGATTTTATTACATTTATACCCGTGCTCAATCACTCTGAACAGTATTGTGAACGAATTGCGAACAGCAGTATTGCTTTACTGTTTTGCATTATGAACTTCAGGCTGTGCCTTGACAGTTTTTTCCTTTGCTCATTATTTGCTTTTCAGCTTTGTCTTATTTTTCTGGAGGATTCATTTGCATATTTTTTGCCATTTGGGGTTTTTTTATACACTTAACTTTGTCTGTTTCTAGGTCGAAACTTTTGCATATCACCTCCCCAAAGCAACTTTCTGCGACCTTCTCGATATATTTGTATCAGTCTGCTCAATAAATGACCGTTTTTTTATTTGTACATCTGTAGAACACATGAAAGCTCTTGCACAATTTATCGAACATGTATCGTTGCCCCTACAGGTAATTCTATATTTTTTCTTTATTTTTCGTAATATCTCGCTTTTTACGAATGCAGTTTTAACATTCAGGTGCGCTACTATTTTTGTATTTCTCCTTTGGACCCTGAGGAGCATTTCCAAGGACAGTTTCTTCTTAAGTTGGCGAGAAGGTTTGCCTTTGCTGGATATTTTGGGGCTCATTTTGACTGGTGACTTCATTTTTTTTCTACTGCTGGCTCATGAACCAGCAGCAACTGAGCAGTGTTCAATTGCTCTGTCTGCTGACATGCAGCGCAACTGAACTAAACCTGCTGAGCGATTCTTTCCATAAATGTGACTGTTAAAGTGCCGACGGGTTTGCGCAGTAAGCCACAGCGGCGCAGAAGTTGACGACTATACCTCATGAAGAAATGGGAAGAATGTGTGTAGGCTGCTGTACACTGTCAAACCAGTGAGAAATATGACATATAATTAATTTAATTTGCATTATGGAATCACATATTTCAACGCAGAAGGGTGGGAGCATTTGAATACTGGTGAACCAAATCGCTTCATTTACCCAATGTCCAACTCACTGAGAGTTTCAGAAGTGTGATTGCAGGGCTCAAAAGCAGCTCAAGTTTTACAGTAGTGTCCTTCATTGAGGGATTTTTCAAAAAATGAACTGCATTGAATATTGCATCGGCAGTCTAAGAGCTTTTTTCAAAACTGTGCTTTTGAGGAAGAGCTGAGGCAGGAAGAAATTTAGAATTATGGAACCAGGTATGTTGAAGCGATCACTACATGAGCGGAGTATTTTAAGGCATGTCTAAACCGTTCTTGTGCAGTTAGGTAAAGAAGCGAAGAAAGCTTCTTGAGCTCCGTTTAATTTACTTGTCTTCCCCTCTTCTTTACATCTTTTTGCCTTTGTTCCAGAGAAGGAGATTTGCTGTCACCTTAGCTTTCTCCCTCTCTTCGCCAAATGCGTTCACTTGCCACCTCAAAGTCAAGGGGAACATTTAATGCCCAATCAGCTGGGTATATGGACCAATTTCATTTTCTTCCCAATCTAGAAGAAAATTTACGAGGACATTGGGTCTTTTGTATTCCTTCCATATATGTCTGCAACCAACTCCAGACGGATTATGTCGGAGAAGTAAAGAGGTATCTCTCGCCGTTGTCACTGAGTCAGACGTACCGCACAAGGTATTCATATGTTGCACAAAACGAGAGTACTTCTGATTGGCATTATCTCCCTCAGCCTATCAGCGTGATGGGGCCACCAGCCTGAATGAGAGCCAGCATTTTTTTT